GAGAGAGAAAAGACAGAAACAGAGGGAGACAGAGAGGAGACACAGAGAGGAGAGAGAGACAGGAGAGAGAGAGACAGTGAGAGATGAGAGATATATACAGAGACACATACATAGAGACAAAGGGAGAGGAGAGACAGAAAGACAGAAAGAGAAGAGAGGAAGAGGGGGAAAAGAGAGAGAGACACAGAGAGAGAGAGACAGTGGATAGATGGCTGGGCCTAAAGTCCAGAAGCCCTGAGTTCAAATCCAGCCTCAGGCACGCACTAGCTGTATGACCCTGGGTGAGTCACCTCCCTCCTTTTGCCTGTCTCAGTTTCCTCATCTGTAAAATGGGGATAACTGCCCCTCCCTCCCAGGGCTGTTTGTGAGGATCCCTCTGAGCACACAGTAGGAGCTCTGTTGGCTACAGCTGTCGGTAGAGACAGACCCAGAGACAGATCTCTCGCAGAGACAGAGAGACCCCCCCCCCCCCCCCAACTCTGAGTTACATGAAAGAGACAGAGACCACGAGGGACAGAGAGACCCGCGCGGGGATGAAACAAACCTCCAGACCCAAGCGCGCACGCGCGCACGCGGCGCGCGCATGCGCCCCCCTCCCGTCCTCGCTCCGCGCTCCCGCTGCCAAGGTCCCGGAACTTAAAGCCCGGGCCACAAGGAAACTGCGCCTGCACGCTGAGAGCACTCAATGACCACTCCCACAATGCCGAGGGCTCTGCACCACCTGATCCCGCAGGCCTCCTGGGAAGTGGAGTCCAGACGCCGGGAGGACGGGGCCCGTCGGTGCAGTTCATCCTGGGAAATGGAGTTCGGCGATGGCTCGGGGCGCATGCGCAATGCTCACAGGGGCCTCCTCTCGCGAAACATTCCCTCTCTCATATCCAGTCACTTGCCAACCTTTTTCTGCCTATTTATAGCTAGCAAGCATTTAAATAGATAACATTTGCAAATCACTTTACATGTTATCTAAGTTGATCTTCACAATACCTACTAGTCTGTGCAATGATTTTCCCAGTTTTACAGATGAGGAAACTGAGGCTGAGAGTTTAAGTGACCTACCCAGGGTCACCTAGCTAATAGGTAAGTGTCTGAGGCAGGGCTTACACTCAGGTCTTCCTGACTTCAAGGCCAGCATTCTACCCACCGTGAACCCTAGATGGCTCTGAAAAATGTCACACTTATCCTCTTTTTCCCACTCAAATGTCTATCACCATGGTTCAGGGCCTCACCTGGACTACTGCCTCTTAACTATTCTATCTGCCCCTTTCCTTTTTTTTTTTTTTTCCCCATGGTTTTTGGTGAGGCAGTCGGGGTTAAGTGACTTGCCTAGGGTCACACAGCTAGTAAGTGTCATGTGTCTGAGGCCAGATTTGAACTCATGTCCTTCTGACTCCAAGGCTGGAGCTCTATCTACTGCACCACCTAGCTGCCCCTTATCTGCCCCTTTCCAATCTACCGTCACACCTACCAAATTGATATTTCTAAACCACAGGTCTAAACATATAATTTCTTCACTCCAAAGAGTTCAGGGCTAACTAGGGTTTCCACATTAAAATTAAAACTCTTTGAGTTTTATATTTAAAAAATTGCATTAACTTCTTTGTTTTTGTATTTTTTACATTTTACAACATATCCCTCCTCCCGCATCCCTTTTCAAACACCCAACCCTTATAGCAAATAAAAAAGAGAATCAAAGTTAGGTTAAACTAGACAATGTATTGAAAAAAGGTTGACGTTATGTTCCATGCCCTTTGTCTCTACTCCTGCATAAAAATGGGAGAAGGGATGTCTCATGTTTCTTCTTTGTGGCTATCTTGGTTATCATGATTTCACAGCGTTCTGTCTCGGTTGTTCTGCTATTATTTTCATTTGCATAGTTGTAGTTGTATGTATTGCTTCCTGCTTCTTCTTAACTTCACTTTGCATCAGTTCATAGAAGTTTTCCATGATTCTCTGAATTCCTAATATTCATCATGTCTACAGTGAGGTGATAGTCCCTTACATGAATGGATCACAATTTCTTTAGTGATTCCCCATTCTCCAAGGAGAGTGGGTCACAGCCTTCTGTTCTGATTGATTCATTGTTCTTCCCACTGACAGTGGTGTAGTGACTAGATGACATGAGGAAGTGGCTGTATCTACACTGCCTCTCCCTTGGGTCTGCTTCCTTTCCTCTGCATCAATTCATGAGTCTTCAGGGTGTTAGTCACATCCATTGTCTCTTCTGTCCTTCTGACATCCCCTTATGTTTATAAGCCACAACATAGTCATTCTCCAATGCATGGGGCCTGGCACATAGTAAGTGCTTAATAAAATGCTTGTTGCCAGCCCATCTACGCTACTACAAAAAGTGCTATCAACATAAACATGGTGGTGAATATAGATAGGACCCTTGTGTCTTTGGCCCCCTTGAGGGAATGTCTTTTTTGTGACTCATCATCAGATCTTCCTTCCCGAGAAAACTCATCCTTGGGAAATCTCATTATCCTACAATCTGTCTCAGTACTCACATCTCATCAGTACCCTCTGCCCCTCTGATTGGACCTTTTGACTGAAGACAGGCCATGAGATCCAGGGTCTCTATTTAATAAAGGGGCTCAGCATAGTCCTCTCCCCATTTCCCACCAATGACTCAGCTTTTAGACTTTTCTGGACTTCCCACCATGCCTTCAAGCTGTTTTGTGTGCTGTCTTCCCCTGTTAGATTGTAAGCTCCTTGAAGGCAGGGTTTTCTTTTTTAAACTAGCATTGTGCTTAACACAATTCATGGCACATAGTAGGTGCTTCATACAGGTTTATTGACTGACTGTATCTGTGTAGCAGTGGATTCTCTGGGTCAAAGGGTACTTTCCTTGGTATCTAAAGCCCACTACAATCTGGTTCAGATCTATCTTCCCAGGCCGACCTAATACATATACACAATCTGTATTTCAGCCAAACTGGCCCACTCACTGTTCCCTTTATGTTACCTCTGTGCCTTCTCACTTGCAGCCCCCTCTACATGGAAGGCTCCCTTCCTCCCCACCACTTCCTTTCAGAATCCTTAGCTGCCTCAGGGGTGGAGAACCTGTGGCCTTAGGCCACATGTGGCCCTCTAGGTCCTCAAGTGTGTGAAATTTGGATTCAGTCCTAGAAGGCCACATGTGGCCTGAAGCCGCAGGTTGCCCACCCCTGCTCTAGGCTGTTTCTAAAGCCTCTTCCTTCAGGAGCCCTTTTAAATTTTGGCTTCATTCTCTTCATTCCTGACTATATCCCTTCCCTGCTCCTTTCTTCAGGGAGCTAGTTATCCCTGAAACACCAGAGGAGGAAATAAAGTTCAGAGACATTCACCTGCCCATCAATCCAGGCTGAAGGTCCATGCAATGTTACAATGAAGAGACCAGGTGTGTTTTCTCCTCTCTGGAGCCATCTCATTCATTCAAATTATGCAGCGTTCTGTTTTGGTTTCATTGTTCTTTCCTCATACTTTGTTGTTGTCTGTGCATATATTGTTTTCTTGGATCTCCTTACTTCATTCGACCTCAGTTCGTGCTTTCCTCTGCTTATCTGAATTCTTCAGTTGTTTTGCACTAGCTATTCCCCAACTGATAAAAAATGACATGGCTTCCAGTTCTCTTTTTTAATCATAAAGTGCTGTTGTCAGTTCTTGTGTGCGTGCGGACCCCTTCTCTCTGCGACTTCCTAAGGCACGTGCCCATGTAGTGTGAATACATGGACATTTGAATCCCATTCTTAACATCAGTCCAACTTGCTTTTCAGAATGGTTAGATCAGTTCATAGGCCCAACAATGTGTTTCTTTCTGTCTTCCTACAATTCCTCTAACAATGATCTTCCCATTTTTTGTCATCTTGGCTAATTTGCTGGATGTGAAGGGAAACCTCAGAGTGATTTTGATTTGTTTTTCTCTCATTAGTGACATGGAACCAATGTTTCATCTCGTCAAGAGAGCAGGTTTTTTTTTTTTTTTAAGTTTATTTGCTTCCTTTGACCATTAACCTACTGGGGATTGGATCCACAAGAGGTGGCTCTTGATTGTGTTAGATGTTAGCATTTCCCCTGTTAAGTATTCAATTCTGAGTGTGTGTGTGCACATGTGTATTTATTTCACTGGGTCATAGAGCCAGAGAGAGGCTGTCCTGCACAACTCCTTCATTTTACAGATGGGGAACTGACATGAAGTGAGTTGCCCAAGGCCACACAGGCAGTAAGTATAAGAGCCGGAATTGGAATCCAGCTCCTCTGGCCTGGAGCCAATCAACTTTCCATCATGCCCTTTTTTCTGTGTACATGCTATTTCCTCTAGGGGAATGGAAGTCACTTGAAGGGAGTGCCAGTAAAATGTCCCCTCCCATACAGACACCAAATTAGTTTTTATCTTTTTTTCTTTCATCATTTTTCAGTTGTGTCAAACTGTGTGACCCCATTTGAGGTTTTCTTGGCAAAGATACTGGAGTAGTTTGCCATTTCCTTCTCCAGCTCATTTTACAGATGAGGAAACTAAGGCAAACAGGGTTAATTGCTTTGCCCAGGGTCTGAGCTAGTGTCTGAGGCTAGATTTGAACTCAGGAAGGGGTGTCTTCCTGACTACAAATCCAAGGGGATCATTGTTCTGTGAAGTTTGGATTCAGCCAAAGGACCGCACTTGAGGACCTAGAAGATCCTCACCCCTGGTTAGGGTAATGATTAAAGAGGAAGAATACTTTCAAATATTTCAACAGAAATATGTCTTGAGTTCACATTGGATCAGGCTGAAAGAATCCTTAGGGCAGGAGTTCTAATTTCTGGGGTCCATAAACTTCCATGAGGGAAAAAAATTGCATCATCATGTATTTTCACTAAGCTTAGCATTTCCTCCAATTAGGATTCGTTATATAATATCATTCCAAAAAGGGGTCTGTAGGTTTCACCAGACTACCAGAGGGGTTTATGACATAGAAAAGGCTTAAAAATCTATCTTAATGGGACTAGCTAAAGACTATTTGAATGTTTTTAAGATGATTCTTTAATTTTAATTTTCACAGGTTAAGTGATTGTAGTTCTGCTGGGGGCGGGGCACAGCGTCAGGAAGATCTAAGTTCAAATCCAGTCTCAGACACTTAGTGGCTGTGTGACCTTGGGTAAATCACTTCATCTTCATATTCATCAGTTTCCTCAACTGTAAAATGGGGATCATAACCACACTTAGGTTCTAGGGTTGTGGTGAAGACCACATGAGGTATTTGTAAAGTGCGTAGCCTGGCACGTGGTAGGCATTTAACAAATGCTTGATTCCTCCCTCCCCACTCTGGGCCAAGGAGAGACGACAGTGTCTGGACAGGCCAGTGGTGGCTGTTGGGGAGAAGGGGAGGTGGTTGGTTTAGCAGTAGGGCGCATAAGATGCTCTTGCTGGAAGGCACCTTGTGTCCTGTCTGGAAGGGAGTAACTACTCACTTCACCTGTTTCCTGATCTGTGAAATGAAGGGGTTGGAATAGATGGGACTAGAAGTACCCTTCAAGCTCTATAATGTATGACCTTATGATTCCTAATGTGACTGTTCTAACGTACTTCAGAGATCGGCTACCTCCACTGACATTCTCTTGCCGGCATCTTCTCATTTCGGTAAGTTGCCTGCTGCCGAGGGAGGCCTTTTCCCATCTATTACATTTATAAGATTTGTCTACATGATGACTTTTCTGATGCAGCACAAGGATGAGCTGTCACCCAAGGTTTTTGCATACACAATTTCTAGGCTTTTTTCTTCAGTATATACTGTCATTAAAGGCTTATTCACATACCTTGCATTTTTAGAGTTTGTCTCAGATGAATTCTTTTTGAATTATTAAACTTAATTGGAAATATTAATACAACTAAATAAATTTGCACAGAAACCTTTCACATTTAATTTTAAAATAATTTTATTGATAGTTTGCATTTATATCACTTACATTTTCCAATGTTTCCTTCCCTGAACTGTTCCCAGAGAGTCACCCCTTATAACAAAGAGAAAAGGAAAAAGAAACAATTCAGCAAAACCAACCAACATTATCAAAACCCACCAGATTTGATATACACTATGTCACACCCATACTACCCCAACTCTTCAAAGTGGTGGGTGTGTTGAAAGAAATAATCCTTAATTAAGTCAATATTGATTATCCTGCTGATTTAACATATAAGACTGAGATAGCTTTTAGATTAAGAGATATATAATCATTGTAGTCAGAGATTGAGTTCCTCATTTTGGTAGAGCTGAGCAGTTGAGCTCAGCTCCTGCAGAACTGAGCTGGAATGAACATTTCCCCATTTCACAGAGGTCCAAGTTTCCTTTTGTAGTTGGCTAAGTTAGCACTCTCATTTGTGCTTACTGCAAGGAACATCACTTCTGAGTTAGCACAATAATCCCATGATATCAAGACTGGCTGATGTAAAACTGTAACCAGATGGGCCACACTGCCTCGCTAGTCTCAGATCGTTCCAGGATGTACCTAGCTTAACCTCAATTCAAGTGTCAGGTGCCATCCAATCAGAATTCAATCAGGTTTCCCAAGAATCTATAATTTTTCCATTCCTTTTTTATGATTATAAAAATAAGCTCTGTAAAACCCATTTGTCTATGGCTACTGAGGAGCCACTGACCTCCCTTATTGGCAACTGTTAGCTTTGCTAATAAATTGATTGTGTGCAGAACTTTTTGCCTCAGTTTCTCTTTATCACAGATTTCCATCATGGCAATGTATGAGAAAGCGTATATGAGTTTCAAATCACTTCTTTGGAGCCAAGCTTAGTCATTATAATTTCACAGCCTTATTTATTTATTTATTTTTTATCATTTTGCTGTTGGGTTATTTCCATTTCCATTGTTGTAGTTATTGTGAAGCTGTGCTTTTCCCAGTTCTGTTTAGTTAACTTTGTATCGGTTCATTTAAGTTTTCACATGCACCTCCGTATTCAGCATATTTATCACTTCTTACAGAACAGTGATACTACACAGACATTTACATGGAAAGAATCTGAATATGCACAAGTCCAATAAGTTTTCAGTTACTCCACAAGTCTCTCTTACATTCTTGTCCTTTCATTTCAATCACTCTTACATGGTAGTAGCCATGGTGACCTTTATTTTGTTTGTTGTTGTTAAACTTTGTACTTTGTCACAAAGACCCTCATCTAAATATCATCATATTCCTCAAAGTTGCCTATTTTAATTACATAATGGGATTTCATTGTATGAATGTTTCACAATTTAACACTCTACTGCTAGATACTTCAGGTACTTGCCTTCAGTTCTTTTTATTATAAATGAATATGAAATATTAAAATCATAGACCAGATAGCTCTGTTTTGTTTTTGCTAACACTTTTAGGGTATATAGTTAACAATGCAATGATCAACAAAAGTGGTTTTTTTTTGTTGTTGTGACATTTACTGTGTACCGAGAAACTATTTTCTAAAAAGCAACTTTCTACCACCAATATCTCTCTTCGGTTCCACAAGCATTGTTTCTAATAATTTTTTTGATAATTTGATAAGTATCTCAATGATACTTCAATGTATATAATTTTGATTGAGACTCAACACTTTCTATGGTATTAGCAATTTATTTCCTCATTTGAAAATGATCTCTTCATACCCATTGACCATTTCCCCATGGTGGACTAAAAGCTACCTTTGTAAATTTTTAGTAATTCTTTTCATATTTATCATATTTGATATCAACACTTTTTACAACTGCTCTTTTATTTTGGTTATATGACTTTCATACTTTTCCTTTTTTTGTCCTTAAATACATCTTAGCTTGACCCTTCTAATTCCTCCAAATTCTTTAGTACATTTTCTTAATTGTACAATTGAAATAACTGCATAACCACATTTTCTCTCCCCTCCCTTGCCTTTTTAGTTCATTTTACACATATATGAGGCTACAAATCAGGGGGAATCCTGAGGTATGTGTTATGAGATATGGTTCTAAATCCATTTTCTGCCATATTGATAACCAATTTTCCCAAGCAAATTTGTTAAATACTTCTTTTGCTAGTTTGTATTTTTTATAACTTTATAAAACATTAACATTTTGTCTCTGTTTTGTTAGATAGATGGTATCCCTATTCTGTCTCCTTACCCTCCTGCCAGTACTAGAATATTCTGATTAAAAGAAGTTTATAATACGTTTTAATGTCTGGGAGTACACGTCTACTTTAAATTTCTAGGGTTTGTTTCTAGTATGAATTTTCTGATGCTGAATAAGTGTCGTACACCGAGTGAAGGCCTTACCACATGTAGTACATTCATAAGGTTTCTCACCACTATGTATTCTCTGATGTTGAGTTAGGTATAGTTTCCTGCCAAAAGCTTTTCCACATTCACTACACTGATAGGGTTTTTCTCCACTATGAATTCTCTGATGTAGAGTAAGACAATGGCCATTTCGGAAGGCTTTACTACATTCATTACATGGATAGCACTTTTCCCCGGTATGAACCGTTTGATGACGGCTAAGGTACAAATTGCGGCTGAAGGCTTTTCCACATTCACTACATTTATAAGGTTTCTCTACAGAATGAATTTTCTGGTGTTCACTGAGGCTCCCTGGACGACTAAAGGCCTGTCCACATTCATTACATTTATAAGGTTTCTCTCCCGTATGTATTCTGTAATGAAGAGTGACCTGTGAGCTGTTGCTAAAGGCTTTACCACAATCTTTACATTTATATGGTTTCTCCCCACTATGGACTCTCTGGTGTTCAGTAAGGTGTCCCCTCTGGGTGAAAGCTTTTCCACAATCACTGCATTTATAGGGTTTCTCTCCATTATGAATTTTCTGGTGTCGAGAAAGGTCTCCCCGCTGGCTGAAGGCTTTTTCACATATGTCACATTTATATGGTTTTTCTCCAGTATGAATTCTCTGATGTAAACTAAGGCCTATACCTTGGAGGAAGGCCTTCCCACACTCAAGACATACATGGGATTTCACACCAGTATGAATTTTCTGATGTACATTGAGTGCAGAGCTATTGCTGAAGGCTTTCTCACATTCGCTGCATTTATATGGTTTCTCTCCAGTATGAATTCTCTCATGCCGACTAAGGTACGTAATCTGGCTGAAGGCCTTTCCACATTCAGTACATTTATGAGGTTTTTCTCCATTATGAATTCTGTAATGTTCAGTAAGACGTCCTTTCTGGATGAAGGCTTTTGCACATAGATTACATTTATAGGGCTTCTCTCCAGTGTGAATTCTTTCATGCATATTGAGCTGTGAGCTGATGCTAAAGGCTTTACCACATTTGTTACATTTATAAGGTTTCTCACCACTATGAATTCTTTGATGTTTAGTAAGGTCTCCCTTCTGACTGAAAGCTTTTCCACATTCACTGCAATCATAAGGCTTCTCTCCATTATGAATTTTTTGATGTCGAAAAAGGTCTCCCCTCTGGCTAAAGGCCTTCTTGCATATATTGCAATTATACGGTTTCTCTCTAGTATGAATTCTCTGATGTTCAGAAAGATGACCCTTCTGGCTGAAGGCTTTTTCACATACATTACATTTATAGGGTTTCTCACCAGTATGAATTCTTTGATGTACAATGAGGCCTGCATGATTACTGAAAGGCTTCCCACATTCATGACATTCATAGGGTTTCTCTCCACTATGAATTCTGTGATGCAGAATAAGGGATGAGCTATTGCTGAATGCTTTTCCACATTCATTACATTTATAGGGTTTTTCTCCATTATGAATTCGCTGATGTGCAGTAAGATGTCCTTGCTGGCTAAAAGCTTTTTCACATACATTACACTTGTAAGGTTTCTCTCCTGTATGAACTTTCTGGTGTCGAGAAAGGTCCCCTTTCTGGCTGAAGGCTTTTTTACATATGTTACACTGAAAGGGTTTCTCTCCAGTATGAATTCGCAGATGTACAAATAGTCCTGTTCGATTGCTGAAGAGCTTCCTACATTCATGACATTCATAGGGTTTCTCTCCACTATGAATTATGTGATGTAGAATAAGTGATGAACTATTGGTGAAGGCTTTTCCACAGTCACTACATTTATAGGGTCTCTCCCCATCATGAATTCCCTGATGCTGAATAAGGTGTGTGATCTGGCTGAAGGTTTTCCCACAATCTCTACAGGTACACAGTTTTCCAGAAGAATGACTTCTATGACATTGAGTAAGGTGTCGCCTCTGGTGGGAAGCATTGCCGAATTCAGTCCATGTATAGGATTTCTCTTTAGCAGCTCTTCCTGGATCTCTATTAAGGTCTGCGGGGTCACTGAGGGCTTTACTACATCTGTCATCCTTATGAGATTTCTTTCCTGAGGAGATTCCATTGTGATCACTCAGGTCTGAAGAAAATCTGAAGTTATTTCTATGTGTATCATACTTAGAAAGACCCTTTTCTAAAGAAACATTGTTTTGTGTATCAAGGATTGACTTCTGATCGAAACTTTTCACAAACTGATTCCCTTTATGGCCTCTGGCCTTATGAAAATTTTTATCCTGACTTCCTTGTATCAGATCTGTTGCCTGGTTATTAGCTTTATGCCTGTCAGAGTTGTTTTTACAATTTCCAACTTCTCCAAATTTACAGTCCCAGGGACCACCCTTTGTGAGTCTTTCCTGGGATGTGTCTTTCAAGGAAATGCACTGTATAGGGATTGTTTTCTTGGTCTCTGACTGAGTCTCCGAATCTGAAATACAAAGAGAAGAGAAAGGGAAAGAAAAGAGAAGAGGAGAAAGGAAAGAACAGAGGAAAGAAAATAATTTTTTCCTATTTTCTAGGTGGGGAGAAAGGTACCAAGTTCTCATTATTCTTCAAGGATCCATTTCAAAGTGTACGAGAATACTAAAATATGCCAAACACCAAGAATCAACTTTGTGTCTTTCTATCCAATCTAGGTTTCCAGTACAGGACCTCTCCTCCACTCAAGGGGAAGACTGAGATTGGGGGTTGGGTGGCTCCAGTAGGGTTAGGGTTCGAAGAAGGAAATAAGCACCTACTCTGGACACAGATACTGAGGGGGAATGTCTCCTGGGTGGATTCCTACCCTGTCTATTTGCTCCCCTAAGGGCTCTTATCCCTCAAATGTAGGAAGGATTTTTCTTCTTCCTTTGTGAAAGAGGCAGTGTTCTTTGTCTGGGTGTCATGTCTTTCAGCATAGAGAGCATAAAAACAACAGAGAGCTAGCACATTCAAAAGCAGGTGAAGATTCATTTGTTTCAAATGATGAAGTAATAAAAGGAAGAGATGAATGATTAAGGAATGGTCACGAGGAGGAACAGAGTAAGTAGAAGGTATTGGGGACCGCAGCAAGACAGGCCGAGGAGCAGGCAAGAGTGGAGACGCTGGCATCACAATACCACCCTGCTGATTCCTGTTAAAAGAGACTTCTACCTAGTCTCCCTCCCGAGGTTTCTCACCCTGATTTGCTAAGAACACAGCGATTGGATTAATGTCTATGCCATGCATTCAGACCCTGTAACTGTACTGCTCTACACTTCACTCATCCGTTTTCTACTCTGATGTTTTGCCTTCCCAAACACCATGAATTTAAGGGGTCAGTACATGGGTATCATGCTGCCAGTTCAGAACGGTTTGCCTGGCAGGTAGCCAAAAGCCCTCAGTGAACAAAGCACTGGACTACCCCTCCCAGAGAGCTCTGCTCCAGAACAGGTAAAGCCAAGATCCAGCCTACTCCTGGGACAAGGTGAAACCTTCTGGGGGGTTCAGCTCCTCCTGTCACACCGAGTCCCACGATAACCCAAATTGCAGCGTAGGCGGCCCCCCCCCACAAAAGCCTGAATCGAGGAAGCTCAAGAGGTGATGTCACATGAGACATGGGGCATGTGAGTGAGATGTTCCAGGCATGCACACCAAAGAGCAAATGCTGTTGCAGACACTGTGACAACTTAAAGAGCTTAACAGACACAGCCCAGCTTCTAGTCAGGAAGACACAAGTTCAGATCCTGCCTCAGACATGGCCTAGCTGTGTGGCCCTGCAAAGTCCCTCTTCTGTCGTGATAGAATAGCTATCACTGACCAGCAAAGTGCCTTACACACATTACCTCATTTGATACTCACCCTAACAGGAAGGTGCTCTTACTATGCTCGTCTTACAGATAAGGAAAAGTGACTACCCAGGTCTATCCGTTGTCCCGCCCTACTTGGTTCTGTAAAACGAAGCCAGCCCAATCTATGATCCTATGAGGCCTCTGTTTGTGGAGCCGGACTCACAGTTCACAGAATCAGAGTCTCCCTGTGTGGGACGGGACATCTATTTAGCAAAGCCAGCTCCTGAGCTGGAATTGTCCCTATGACTGCCAATGACAACGAAGCATGCTAAATTTAGACTGCTCCCCTCTGTAGCAAGATTTTTACATTTCAAACTGAAATCTCCTTCTTCCAACAATAAGGACCAGTTCTGTCCTATCCCACGTAGCCAAACCAAACCAAACGACTCCCTTCCCTTCCAGGGCATGAAGACGGCCTTCCCCCTCCTCTTCTCCAAAGCCAACGTCCCCAGCTCCTAGAACCAATCTGCAGAGGGTGCAGCTGCCAGTCCCCAGGCCAGCCTGGGTCCCCTCCTCTCTGGATGCTCCACACACTGGTCTTTTACAAAATGGGGCACAGAAGAATCAAACAGGGCAGAGCAGTGCCCAGCAGGGCTATCCTCAGACACCTTACTTCATTACCTCATTTCCCACCGACCTGCATTCATTTTGGACTTGGTTTTGCTTCTTCACTGAGCCCCCAGGAAACTTGTCATTGGGAAATTTCATCATCTTTCACAAGATCCAGTCCCTCTTTGTCCCTCTGACTGGAGGGGGAGCCACAAAGGCCATTTCAGGGGCAGGTAAGGACTCACAGTCAGCTTTCTTTGGCATACTGTCTGCATCTCTGGGCAGTGACTTTCCTTTTCTGTATTTTTATTACCAGTGCCTAGCACCGTGCCTGGCACTTAGGTGCTTAATGAATGTTTACTGCTGCTTGACTGCCCCCCTCCTTATTCTGGGCCTTTGAACAACGAAGCCCCCTGCTCCCCCCAGTCCGCAATCTGCTTCCTGCTCACCCTTCCCTCAGGGCATCAGAGGGTCCTCTCAAAGCCCAGCACAGCCGCCACCTTCTTCCTGAGGCCTTGCTCGACACCCCCAGATGACACTGCTCCCTCTCTCCCTCCCTCCCTGCTCTCTCCCCTTCCTCTTTTCTTGTTCTCTCTCAGAACTGCCTTGGGTCTGGGTCTGGGCCCGCGTGGCATACACCAGGACCTGATTCATTTCTGTTCTTTGTGACTCCACGGCCTCATGCTGGGCTTGCACGGAGAACAGACTTATGTCTGTTCACTCGTTCCTGCCGGGGTTCTATCTCTGCAGACCCCGATCCCGTCTGCTGCTCTGGTTGTCCTGTCACCCTGTTGACCCGCTGTGCCTGGAGTGCGGATGAGGAAAAGGGACTACCCAGGTCACTTTTCGATCACAAATTGAGGGAGACTTCCCTTGTGTCTGCGATCAAGATTAGGATCAAGTGAGGAAACAAAGGCAAAGCACTTTGCAAACCTCAGAGTGCTATGAAAATGCTAGTGACCACTACCATCCTCCTCCTCTTTGTCTCTATCCTCATCATTCCCATCATCCCCATCATCCTCATCAGTCTCATGATTACCATCTTCCCCCTCACCATCATCTTCCTCATCCTCACCATCCTCCTCTTACCATCACCATTACCATCCCCCTCACCATCATCATCTTCATCCTCACCATCCTCCTCTTACCATCACCATTACCATCCCCCTCACCATCATCTTCCTCATCCTCACCATCCTCCTCTTCCTTATCATCACCATCCTCCTCACCATCATCATCCTCTTATCACCAATCTCTTCCTCACCATCCTCATCTTCACCATCCTCCTCAACCTCACCATCTTCCTCTTCCTTATCATCACCATCACCATCCTCACCATCATCTTAATTCTCACCATCATCTTCCTCATCCTCACCATCATCATCCTAATTCTCACCATCCTTCCCCTCATCCTTATCACCATCATCATCCTCATCCTTATCACCCACAGTGTCAGTGAGGGAAGTGGGCAGAAGGTTCAGCCTGGATTTATGGCCAAGGTCACTGGTGCCCCTAGGACTGCTGTCTATAGAATCATGGTCCAATAATGTAAGAGAAGAAGGGTGAAGCCAGGAGATGGGCACAAGTGTATCTCAGTACAATTCATCCAATCTTTTCTAAGCCCCTTAAGTTCTCCTGGGGTGGGGAGAGATAAAGGTCTGATAGAGCAGGGAGTGATGGGGACAGAGAGACCAGACAAGCGCCTGGGAGTATCTGTGGAAGGAGGAGAACAGTACCAACTAGGGAGGTCGGGAAAGGCTTTGTGGATTCCCAGAAGAAGGTAAGCTTTGCGAGGGCAGGGACTGCTTCCTTTTAGCCCTTCTAGTTGCAGCACCCAGGGCAGTGCTTGGCACCTATCTGGCACTTGTGGAATGAAACCAAATTGACCCGTATGGAGCCTGAGCTGTGTGCTCAAGGAAAAGATAAGGAATGGGAAAGGCCGAGAGGGCATTTTGTCGCTTTGGCTCAGGACCAAAGAAAGAGCATGGCCTTGAAGGCAGGAGGGTGTGGAGCTCAGAGTTGTCACTTAGCCGTTGTGGGACCCTGGCCAACACCCTTCACCTCTTAGAGGTGCTTCCATTTCTTCATCTGTAAAACGAAGATAAAAACATCTAGAGGACCAGGGTAGATGTGAGGCTCCGATAAGAGGAGGCAGGCAAAGCCCCCCCGAGTGTGTGCTGTCATTACACCTCATAGACTGGGAGTAGGGAGGGAACACGGAACAGGCTGAGGAGGCCCCTCATTGCCAGCCTAGGAGAGGCTAGGACTCCCGCCTGCCTGGTGTCCTCACCTGCATGGGGGCTTCTTGGCTCTTCCTCCAACGGCATCCACGGGCCTCCCCCACACTCCAGCTGGGAGATCAGCTCTGGCTTGGAAACCGGAAGCCCTGGTCATGGGGAGAGAAGTGGGAGCACCCTCTTGAGTCCATCCCAGCTCCCTCCTCTTTAGGGACAGGCTGGCACTCTCGTGGTGCCCATGGGGTGGGATGAGGTGAGGCCTGTGCTGGGCACTATCCTGGGACCTGAGGCAGCCAGTGTGGGGCTACACACCTGGTGCAGGTGCTCAATAAGCGCTGGTCATGGGGACTCTATCTATTTCTACTTGCAGAGCTTCTCCTAGGAAAAGGAGCACAAGCAGCCTCTCTGAAGGCCGGCCAAGTACAGAACGAGGTGAGCAGCCCTTCAAATAGCCTGCCACCCTCAGCCAGTGAGGACATCCCCTCCCTGGGGAAGGCAGATTGCGAGCCCCCCCGGAAGCTCTGCTTCTTACCCAGGGAGACAAAGTTCTCATAGTTCTCCAGCATGACCTCCCGGTACAGGTTCTTCTGGGCGTGGGTCAGCTGCCTCCATTCCCTCTGGGTAAAGTCTACAGTCACATCCTGGAATGTCACGGACTCCTGAAACAGCCAACACGTTTCTGCTTTCACTTGGTCCAGAGGAGGGGGGCAAAACGTGTGGAATGGATGATTCTGAACCGTAGTACCTTTCTACATCCCAACCCTCCTTGGCCCCTCAGCCGCTCTGGGTCCTCCAGGTCACCTTTTTCTAGAGTCTTTCCTTCCTGTGATTATCTCCTGGTTCTCCTCCTGCCCTTTTGGCCCTTGAATTCTGAGCGCGCTCTAGGATTTTGTCCTGGGTCCTCTCTCCTCTTCACTAAAGACACACTCTCTTTCTGCCCCCACCATCTCTGGTGGGTTTAACTATTAGTCTGTTCACAGTAGTTTTCATGTCTTCTCCCCACTGGAGTGTGCGCTCCTGGTTTCTGCCCTTCTAGGTGTCCCCAGTGCTTAGGGCAGAGCCTGGTATGCGTGAGGCACCGCAGGGATGCTTGTGGGCTTCACCTGAATGTTCTCCTGATGTCAGCTGGAGCATTAGGTCACTCCTGACCCAAGGGACAACGGAGCTGTAACGGGACCCCAAGAGAGGATGGAGAGGCTCGTGAGGAGCCAGCCTCAGAGGCAGGTCAAGGACCTCAAGTGCTTACTGAGCCCACAATGCTGGGGGGACACCAGGAGGCCACATTCTCTGCCTCTGCAGAGGTTAGTGTCCACCAGTGGGTTGCTTTCACCTGCAGTGATGGTGGAAGGGGAAGATGCAGACTGAGGGCTCCAGGACACATTCGAGTGGGGGATCAGAGAGTCTCTCCCCAAAGAGGGAGCACGGGAGCTGGGCCAACAGGGATAGGAGGAGGGTGAGGCAGGGAAGCTGGCCTTGAACGTGGAATGAGTGACTGTGGGTGGCAGACAGTCTGGAAACCAGCCAGGCTAAGGGGTCTGCATTTGATGGTCTGATCTACAAGATACACAATTACACAGATATCATTCCCCAATGGAGAGGGGGCCAAAGACGTGACAGCACAGGCATAAAAAGAACTGCAAATAAATCACAAGCCAATCACCAATAATATAAGAAATGTGAATCAAAACAATCCCCAGGCTTAACCTGAATTGGTACAGACCATCCTGGGAAGCTATCTGGTGCTTGGTAAGAAAGGGACAAGAAGTCTATTGACTCATGAGACCCAGAGATCTCATGGTCCAACAGGTCAAAGGGAGAGCAGGGGTCCCATCTACATCAGAATATTCATAAGCTGGAGACAACTAGAAACAAAGTAGATGCCCATTGAGTGGAGGATAGCTCAACAAATTGAGACCCCAGAGGGTAAAGAAAAGCCAGGGAAGGCTTTGAGAACCAGACTCAACTTCTCTGAGGAAAGAACAGCCACCACCATGAGCAGCCTGGTTCTGGGGAAGGGTCAGTTCTCCTCCCCTCTTCTCCTAGTTCACTGTTACAAAGGGTGGCTCCTGATCTGAGACGTGGGGGGCGGGATGGGTGGAAAGGCTCCAGTAGCAACAGTTATTCCAAAGGTTGGATGAGAGGTGGTGAGGGTCTGGGGACACAGAGAGACCTCATCTCAACTAGTTATCATTTGTGTATGTGGGTATGTATGTGTATGTGACTGTGTGTACATGTCTATGTCCATGTGTGTAACTGAGTGTGCATAAATGAGTGTGCACGTCGATGGACATGTAACTGTGTGTGATTGTGGGTGCATGTATACAATTGTGTGTACATATGTGATTGTGTGTATGGGAACGTGTATGCATACACATGAGGTTGTGCATAGATGTCTATAGATGTGTGACCTGAGTATGGATGTGACTGGATGCATGTATTTATAATCGTACATACATCACTATGTACATGTGTGATTCTGTGTGCACATGATCATGTGCACGTCTATGTGTGTAACTGAGCATGTATATGTGTGACTGATCATGTACTCGTGTGTACATGTCTCTGCATGTATGTGTAACTGAGTGTGCGTAAATGGGTGTGACTATGCACGTGTGTGTCTATGTGTGTGACGTGTGTATGTGTGACTGTATGAGGGGTATGTGTGTGTGCATATGCACACGCATGAACACATCTCTTGGGGGCAGGCAGGCCCTGGGTCCTGCTCTTGATTCTTTCTTGCCTTCCACTCACTGATGAGCTCACAGGAGACTTGAGGAAGGGAGGGAGGAAAGGAAGGAGGGGGGGAGGGAGGAGGGAAGGAGAGAGGGAGGGAGGGAAGAAGGAGAGAGAGGGAAGGAAGGAGAAAGAGGAGGGAGGGAGGAAGGAGGGAGAGAGGGAGGGAGGAAGGAAAGAAGAAAGCAAGGAGGGAGGGAAGGAGGAGGAAGGAAGGAAGAAAAGAGGGAGGGAGGGAGGAGGGAAGGAGGGAAGAGGACTCCTGAGGTCAGAGTAGGCAACAGGCAAAGTCTGGGTTCCAGACTGGGAGACCCAGGTTCTGGTCCTGATCTGTCATTGGGGGTTTCAGCCTCAGTCTCCCCCTCTGCTGGCTGACCCCCCAAGCACCCTCCCGGCTGCAGGGATGTGTGGACTCTGCAAGCACCCCACTTGGGGGTAGGGGCTCGAGGACCCCAGGGGGACCCACACTCCACTGAGCACTGTCCACTCACCAAGCCGGGGGCTGCTGGGAGCCCTGAGGTCGCTCCCTCCTTGCGCTGACCTCCGCTCATCTCTCGGGGGAGGGCAGAGTCTGGGGGAGAAGAAGGGGGTGAAGAGAAACCCCCCCCCACTCCTCACCCCCGCCCGGGTCCCTCCTGCACAGACCCTTCCCTCGCTGCCCCTGCAGTCCCCGCAGAGGGAGAGGCCGGAGGGGGGCCCCAGCAGCTGCCCGCGGGGATCTGGACAGCCTGAGAGCCCCTGCCAGGCTCCCGGGATCTGGGCCGAGAAGCTCTCTATCTGCGGCTGAAGGGAAGTCACTCACGTTTTCTGCCTCGGCTTCCCCCGCTGCTGAACGGGGAGGGCAATGACGATGGCAAGCGGCTGTCTTTCTCAGCTGGGTCCTCAGACGTCCTCCACGGTCGTCCCTTCCATCGTGCCCGGGGTCCGCACTGTCCTCTCCGCCCGGGCGGCCAAACTGGGGCGAGGTCCATCCTGCTGAGTGCGGCCAGGCAGACTGGAGGATCACCCCTTCTAGGGCAGGAGCCTGAGGAGAGAGCCAGAGACACCCCCACCCGCCCCCTTTACGGATGAGGAAACTGAGGTTTCCCCGGTGGTCAGCCTGCAGAGTGCCCACCAAGGGTGGAGGAGGAAAGAGGGAGGGTCAGGTGGCCCTGAGTTTAAGTCCCGCCCCCCTCCTCTTCCTTGGGACATGGGCACAAGCACCCGCCAGCCCGGCCACCACGCAAGGCACAGAAGAGTGGACCAGGCACGCCAGCTACGGTGCGCCCAGGTGTGGGTGCGGGGAAGTCCAAGGGCAGCGGCCTTCCCCTGCACCCCAGAGGGTGAGACCTGGGTGGGGTGGGGGTAGAGACAGAGAGAGATATCGAGGCGCAGAGACAGAGATGGGGAGACAGGGAGAGACCCAGAGAGATGAGGAGACAGATGGGGAGAGACAGCAGAAGCAGAGAGATATCGAGGCACAGAGATAGCGACGGGGAGACAGAGACAGGTGAGGAGACAGACCCGGCAGTGGAAGGCTGCGCAGGGAGGGGGCACGAGCACACACTTACACACCCACGCTGGCACGCTCAGGCAGCTACCTGGGGGCTCCGCATCGCACGCATGCGCACTACTCAGGACACGCGTCTCGCTCCACCCCTCCCCCAGCTGGGCTTGTGCAGACCTCACCCCGGAACTATCTTTCCCACAATGCAGCGGGCGGCGCAGATATGAGAGGGAATTCTGGGAATGGAGTGCGTGACGTTCTGTTTCAAGCACCGCGACCCCCTCCCTCCACGTCCCGCCCACGGCCCCACGTGACCCAAGCCAGGGTTTGTTTTTTTTTCCCCCTCCCCCCAGCCCCCCAGGGGGCCCGTGTGGCTCCTGAGACCCCTAATATACCGATGGGGGGGGTGTCGGGCGTTACCCCCCCTTGGCCCGGCTCTGGCCCAGCCGCCCAGGCCTCGCTTCCCCTTCCCTCGAGGCCCCCTCTTTCCCCCCAAGTTGATTCGGAGCCGACTCGGGAGCCCGTCCCCGGGAGCTCGGGTCTCTGCCTTGTGCTCGGGAAGGGAAACAGAGGCAGGTGAAGCTGGCAATCCGTCCACGTTGCCTAGGCGCCTGCTCTGTGCCAGGCTGGGCTAAGCGCTGGGGATCCAGAGGGAGGCCAGGGCCAGGCCTGCCCTCCAGGAGCTTCCAGTCTGCCGCGGTCCAGAGCCGGCTCCAGACGGCCTCAGTTGGAGAGGATCCCAGCGGGAAGGCGCGCCTTTGGGCCACCGGCCGGGAGCTTTCCAGGGTCCGTGCAGGCAGACGGCCCCTGCGTCCGCCCCGCTGCCCTCCGGTCTCGAGGTCCGAGGCAGAGAAGGAGGGGGCCGAGCCCCGGAGCAGCTCGCGTCTTAGACCTCGGAGGGTCCGAAGAAGACTCTTGGACCGGAGTCCATCCCCTTGGCGCCCCCCCCCCCCGGCGACCTCCCCATGGCGACCCCCTCCCCGCGCCCCATCCATGGTGCCCACCCTGGCGCGCCTCCGCCCCGTACCCCCTGGCTCGTCGGTCTCCCTGACCCGTTCTGCAGCGCAGCGCCTAACATCTACAAGTGGATTGGGAGCTGCCTCCTCCCACCTGCAGCTCCAGGCTGAGCTTACCCTCCCCAGCTACTCTCCTCCTCTGGGTTCCAGGGGCACCCCGGGCTCAGGAAGCCTTCCCTAATGACCTTGGACGTGGCTTTCCTCAGCTGTTAATTGCCAGGCATCAATGTCCAGTTCCATTTCACTTACTGACATCAAATAGATTTTACAAAGAGATATTGACTGTGAACTATAAACATTTCCCCTTCCCCTCCATACCTAAGAGCCCACTCACCCATCTGCCATTTTGGTGACCTGGAGCACGGGCTCAAACTTAATGCAGTCTCTATATAGCATTTGCCCCATCAGGCACCCGTCCATATGTGACATAATTGATGCTTCTGAGGTGTGTAACTATTAATTCTGAGCAATCTAGGGTACTGCTGGGTTGGGCCCCTCAGGTTAGACTGGATGGTCACAGAACCGTGAATGAACTCCTGCTCCAGGACCTCTGCCATTCTGACCTTTGAAAGCTCACTCACTGTCTCTGATATTCCTTCACCTCAAATCAGGAGAGAACACATGCAAAGAAGCAAAACAGAGATTCCCATAGGGCCAGAGGCCTCTCAGCATCTCTCTCACTCCTGCAGTATCTCCGGCGGAAAGAGTCAGAACGAAGCAAAAATTTCACCTTTGGGGGTCAGTGCCTTTTGAATGCCCTCCAACTGTGGCTATTCACCTCATCTGCCTCAAAAAGTAGCCCTGAGGAGTCAAGACATTAGCTCACAATCAGTTTTCTTACAAGGAATATGGACCCATTTTTTAACAGATGGAAAAACTGAGGTACTGTATGACCCAGCAATTAGTAAAAGGATTCCTGAGGAGTCAGAGGAAAGGCCCAGGTATTGGATTCCATAGCTTCTGCTCAGGACACTGCCAGAAAATCATTTCACAAATAGTAGGGCAAAGACTAGGGATCTCTGGGAACACTTTGCAGTGGCTACAGAAGAATGAAGACCTACCCCAAGAATGTTGGACACAGACTCATGGGAATACAGCCTGCTTCTTCTCTGTCCCTACCACTCCACAGGGGCTGCGGGGCTCACACCATTAAGGATGAAGTAGGATAATTAGACTCTCTCTGTCTCTAAGGAGAAACTTTAACAATTGGCTCCCAAAGGCCTCCAGACCTGGCAGTTTTTCCCTTAGGGTTGAAGGCCCAGGTGTGTGCACCCCACTCTTTAGAGTCCCACATGGGGCTATCACAACCCTTTACTGTGTCTTTTCTGCTTCTGTGAATTTACCACCCTCTGGATCAGAGGAGAGGAAATAGCACAGTGAGAAGCCTTGGAGATATTATCTTAGATAAGCAAAGACCAGTTAGGTAAGTGAAGGATCCTGGACTGGAGAGGCTTCTTAAGTCAAGTCCACAAGCCTTTATTAAGTACTTCCTTAGTACCTATGATACCATGCTAAGCATTAGGAGCATAAAGAAAGGCAGCCCCCAAACCTCCCCAACCACAGCTCTGGCCCTCGAGGAGCAATCCAATCCAATGAGGGAGACAGTGAGCAAACACTTAGGTATGAACAAGCTAGAGATGGGGAATTGGAAATAACTGAAAGGGGGAGCAGGCACTAATGACTCGGGGAGTCAGAAAAGGCCTCTAGGACAAGGCTGTGCTTGAGCTTAGCCTTGAAGAGAGCTGGGGGTCCCAGGAGGTTGTGTTAAGAAAGAAGGGCACTCCAGATACGGGAGTATGGCCTGTCCAAAGGCACATAGATGAGATGAGCGAATAGCAGCGGAGGCATTGGCGTTCAGGAAAAATCGCGCTGAGCTCAGAATTGGAAGATAAAATGCTGACTCTGCTACTTCCTTACTGGGACCTGGGTCAATGACTCCACCTTGATCAGGCTCAGTTTCTTCATCTGTAAAAACCAGTTAGACTGACTCTATGACCTCTGAAGGCCCTTTCAGCTTTAAGTCTCTGATCAGAAGTCGGCCAGTTTGGTCAGAGGGTTACAGTGTGTAAGGGAGAGTGTGCGATGACCCTGCAAAGACTGGCCGAAGCCAGGGCATTAAGGACTGTAAGTGCCAAGCAGAGGACAGTGTTTTCGAGGTAGTGGGGAGCTTCTGAAACTTTGTGAAGAGACCAAGGCTTTAGGACATCAGTTTGGCAGCTGAATAGAAGATGGATCAGAAGGGAGAGACTGGAGGAGATTGCCATACTCCAGGGGAGGGCTGACGGAGGCTCACACAGGTCAGTGTCTTCCCTCCCATTGCTCAGGGACAGGGTGAAGGAAGGAATGAGGAGGAAGGGGTCATTCCTCAGGTGGGCACAGATGGGGGGAGCCAAGAAAAAGCCATCAGCTCCGCCCTCAAGGGGCTTGCTGTTGACCTCAGCAATGACTCCTAAGTGACAATCCCCATTCAGAAAATGCACAGTCCTAAACCCAGCCACCCTGAGAGTGGAGGAGGGACTCAGAGCAGAAGAAGGGCATCGAGGTGAGGGTCCAGGAGAGATTTCCTGGCAGAAGGAGGTTTCCCAGCACTGGGAATATGAATCATAGTAACAGTCTGAGGACCTGGGTTCAAGTTCTTGCCCTGCCCTTACTCCAGACTTAAGGGGTCTAGAGGAGCATGTCCCTTCCCTGGGCCTCAGTTTCCTCACCTGTCAAAGGGGGATAATAATAGTCTGTACCTCCCAGGGTTGTTGTGAGGGTGGAGCGAGATAACCATTTGTAAAGTGTTTTTGCAAACCTCAGATGTTAGCTGTTATTCTCTACAAGCATATATTGAGTTCCCACTGTGTGCCAAGCACTTGGACTAGGCACTGGGGAGACAAATTCAGACAGACCCCTCCTCGGAGGTCAGCCATACTATAGGAAAGGCCATGTGAGGATTCTTTTTGTCATCTTTCAGATGCAGAAACTGAGGTCCAGAAAGGTCCAGAGAACTGCCCAGGGTCACACCACCAAGGAACATCCGAGTGAGGTTTTGAATTTAGGTCTTTCTGACTGGGTCTTGGGCTGATGGAGTAGCTTTCCATGGCTATTTCTGCATCAGTTTGAAGTTCACTATATTCTTAGTGACTGGAGTTTAAATGTCCTTGGCCCCTTTTTACAGACGAGGGTGCTGGGCTGAAGCTCAGAGAAACTTGTGTGGCCCCACAGAGTGAATCAACAGCACAACTTGGGTTTGAGCCCAGGTCTTCTGATGCTTCCCAAGATGCCCCCCTAATTCTAACTAGATGTGCCCATGAGGAGATGGGAGGGAACTGGAAATGAGCCATGAGCCATGGCCTGAAGCACCGGGTCAGTGAGTTTGGGATGGAGGGAAGCAGGAAGAGTAGAAATGCTGGAGGAGAGCTGAGGGTGAAGGCTCGTGAGGGGCCAACTAAGGCCCTGAACTCTATAGAACTCATGGACACTGGGGACCCACTGAATGCATGTGAGGAGGACGTGGGCAAAGTCAGGGCTGCTCTTCCCAGTGTGAGCCAGAAGAGGCCAGGAGCAGAGCAGGAGAGCTCGTTCTGTTCAGATGCTTTCAGAATAGTGAGAGGTCATGGGCCTGAGCTGTCAGAGTGGGGTGGACGAGGAGGAGGAACATACTGATGGAGATGTGACGGGGGAGGAGAATAAGAAGCCAGGGAGAAGCAGTGGCCCACAAAGCTGGAGGCTGTAGGGCCAACTTGGTGCCCCTTACTGAGACGGAGGCCATCAGGAAGGGAGCTTGGTAAACAGGCAAGAGGTGTAGAATGTGTTGGCTCCCATAAACAGATACAGAAATGCATCAGGCATTCATGTTAACCACAACCTCCCCTCAGAAGGGATGACAAGTAGCAGTGTCCTGTGTTTAGACTTCCCATAGAAGTCAAAGGTACTGTGGGGGCTGATGATCAGGCAGACTTCTTCCCATCAGACCTGCACTCGGACCAGACATTTAGGCAATATGGCCAGAAGCAATGAGAAGAGCCGTAATGGAGGGAGACGCAGCAAGGAGGCCAGAGATGGAGCCAGTGACTGGGGAGTCATTCACACAGAAGCAAAAAGTGAATTAATTGGAATGTTTAGAATCTAGCTGGTTGATCTCACTACATTGTGCCACATTTGTTGTAGCAAAATTAAACAAAGAGAATTTCTCGTAACATCCAAACCAGCATAAAGACACCCCAGTTCTTCAAGAAAGGAGTGAAGGAGAGAAGGGAGGAGAGGTCAGTAGGTCAGTTAGCAAAGATAGGTCAGGGAGGAGGACTGAGATAAGGGTATTGGGTCTGGGTACCAGCAACTGTGGGAGGAGTATTTTCAGGAGAGTGGTGGGATGAGAGAGGTAGGAGAAGACAGTGAGGGTAGAGAGAAGGGGAGAGGGGGGAGGGAGAGGGGAGAGACAGAGAAAAACAGAGAGAGTCTGAAAGAGACAGGCAGAATGTCCAAGGGTGGACAAGTGTGTACAAATAAGTATGTAATCTGTATGTCAAGGAGTGTCTTCCAAGACATGAAAAGGATGGGATCTTTGACTCTGAAGGTCCTGACAAAGGAGAGAGCTAGACTGGTGTCCACTGGTCTTCTCCATCCTGATCCACTGATTCTGAGGGGCTACTTGTTGGGAGGGAAGGCACCGCCCTCCTCCCCCAGGGTTGGTTCTGTTGCTGTTATCTCTTCATTTCTGTCACCCTTCCCCTCAGGGTCATGAGCAGAATAAATTGGATCAGTGCTTCTGAATTCCTCCTCCTGGAGCTCTCTGGGAAAACCATTCACCAGCCGTTGCTGTTTGGCCTATTTCTCTCCATGTACCTGGTCACAGTGACTGGCAACATGCTGATTGTCCTGATTATCACCTCCAATGCTCGCCTCCACATTCCCATGTATTTCTTCCTTACCAACCTCTCCTTGACTGACATAGCCTCTATCTCTACCACGGTTCCCACGATGCTGGAAAATATTTGGACTGAGAATCAGACCATCTCCTACATTGAGTGCTTGACACAGCTTTATTTCTCTATTGTCTTTGTCATGGTAGATAACTTCCTCTTGGCCACCATGGCCTATGACCGTTATGTGCCCATCTGCCAGCCTCTCCACTATGCCATGGCCATGTGCCCAGGTCTTTGTGCTCTGCTGGCCACCATGTCTTGGAGCTTCACCAACTTGGTTGCTTTGGTTCACATTTTGTTGCTAGCCCAGCTGCAGTTCTATAGGGGCAATACTGTTCCCCGCTTCTTCTGTGACATGCCCCTGCTGCTACAGCTGGCCTGCTCTGACACTTACCTCAACCAGCTCTTGATCTTGGTCTTGGGAGGCTTTGCCATCCTTCTCCCATTTGGACTCATCCTGGCATCCTACGTCTACATCATCATGGCGGTCTTCAAAATCCCAGCAGCCAATGGCCAATGGAAGGCTTTTTCTACCTGTGGCTCCCATCTTACTGTAGTCACTCTGTTCTACGGGACCATCATTGGTGTTTACTTCTTGCCATCCTCGACACACTTTGCTGGAGGTGACAAAGTAGCTGCTGTGATGTTTACTATGGTGCCTCCCATGCTGAATTCATTCATATACAGCCTTAGGAACCAGGACATAAAGAGGGCCCTGGGGAAACTGAGGTTCCAGAGGAGACCATTTTCCTTGGTCAGGAAATGCTGTGAGCTGGGCAACTGCTAGACCCGGAGCATGCCCATCAGCAGGGGACAACTTCTCTGAAGCAGCATCTCCAGGTGATAGAATCTAGGACTGCTAGCCCTAGAAGCTGCTATAGAGATATCTTGGTTTGATCTTCTCCCTGCCAGATGATCTGTGTTCTCTAATCTCGATGGGGCTTCCCTTCAGAAAGGCAATCCTCTTCCTTCTCCTGTCTGATAGATTCTCTATCCTTTCACCCCTCAAATATTCCAAAATTTCTCATGTCTCCTTAAGCCTGCCACCCACTCAGCTGAGGGCTGTGCCTCAAATAACATTGAAAAAATGAAGAGACTATGTATTTGAGGCTATGCCAGTCTAACATTGTTGCCTTTTGTGACAATATTATTGAATTCGTAGATGAGGAGAATTCTGTGGATGAAATTTACCTAGACTTTAGCAAAGGTTTTCATAAAGTATTTCATACTCTTCTAGTGGGAAGATGGAGAGATGTGGAGTAGGAGATAACATTATTCAAGTTGGATGGCTGGACTCCAAGAGTTGCAAATGGTTCACTGTCAGTGTGGCAGGAAGTCTCTAGGGGAGTGCCACAGGGATCTGGGTGTGGTCCTGCACTCTAATGACATTGATATTATGTTCATACATTTGCAGTTGACACAAAGCAAGTTGGCACACTAAAGGATGGAGTGAGGATCCAAAAGGACCTTGGCAGGCTAGAGTATTGGACTACATTTGATGTCATAAAATTCAGTAGGAATAAATATAAAGTCTTGCATTCAGATACAAAAGCATCAACTTCAGAAGTACCAGATGGCAGAGGCATAATTAAACAAAAATCTGTTGTTCTGTAAAAGATCCAGGGGTGTCAGTGGACTGCAAGCTCACCATGAGTCAGCATTGTGATGTGATAGTCAAAATAGCTACTGCAATCTTAGGCTGCAGCATCCATAAGAGTCCCACGGTGTTCCGCCCTTTTCAGACCTTATTTCTTTCTCCTTCTGGCCCTGTTCCTGATTTCCCTTGCCCCTCAAGACCATACCTCCTCTAGTGCTGCCTCGTCCTGGGATTTTCCTCAGTGTCTGGGGCCTCTGGGGTCTGAAATAGCCTCTAGTCCCCTTGGCCCGCTATTCCTGAATATCCTCTGCAAGACTTGCCCCCATTTGTGAGTTGCTCCTGGAGCCTTCATTTTGTGGAGGATCAAAGACCAACCTCCCTTCATACTCCTCCTGGCCTCATTCCTGACTTCTCCTAGGCTTCAAAGTCATGCCCCCATGTAGCCAGGTTCTTTCATCCCCCATTCTTCACCCTCTCTGCTTTTCAATTCCCTTTCATATATAGTTTTTTCTCATTAGAATGTAAGCTCTTTGAAGATAGGGACTTTCCTTCTTCTGGCCTGTATTTGGATCCCCAGAAACTGGCAAAGTGACTGGCATGCAGAAAGCACTTAATGCTTATTTCCTTCCATTCTTCCTTCTCAATGTTATGGTTTAAGAAGGACATTGATGTGCTAGAGTATCCAGAGCAGGGCAGGCAGAATGGTGAAAGGCCTTCAGTCTTTCTCTAGTAAGATTTGGTCGAAGAAACCCTGAATTTAGAAGAGAAGACTTGAAGGAGGAAGGGACAGCAGTTTTCAGAGACGTGAATGGCATGCATTTGGAGCAGGAATTAGCCTCGTTCTAGCTATCACCAGAGGCCAGGACCAGGAGTCCTGGAGGAAAGTGGGAAAGAGGGAAATGGAGGCTTAGGTGATGAAAATCTTCCTTACCCAAAGGGCTCTGGATGGACTTTGTCTCCTTGCAGGTCTTTAAGCAGAGATCGAATGACTACTTGTGAAAGTGTGTGATAAGGGAGAACTTTTACATGTATGGGATGGAGTATAAGATTACTAAGGCTCTTTCCAATGCTCTAATTCTGTGACATTATTAACCACTCTGCTTGTGGGGGGTGAGGTGAGGAGAAAGAGAGAGAGAGACAGAGAGAGAGAGACAGACAGATAAAGACAGAGAGACATAGAGAGAGAGACACAGAGACAGAGGGAGACAGAGATGGAGAGAGAAGACTACAGCAGGTGTTGAAATATTTAGAAGCCCCTCTCAGAGCAGAACTTTACCACCGGTTTCACTGTGACTGTTACTGCTCAGCCTTTCTCAGTTGTGTCTGACTCTTCATGGTCCCATTTGGGGTTTTCTTGGCAGAGATGCTGGAGTGGTTTGCTGTTTCCTTCTCCAGCTCACTTTCCAGATGAGGAAGTGAGGCAAACACTGTGATGTGACTTGCCCAAGGTCAAGCAGGTAGGCAGTAGGAACTGTAATGGGAGGCCACAATGTCATTTTGCTGGAGGGTTCCAGATGACACGAGGCTTCTGGACCCAGTTGGAGGCTTTTGCCATGTTGGGATGCTATGTGCGGACAGCCAGTCTGTTTCACTATTGAACATGAGGGTAAAGAAGTTGTTGTGGGGAGGACGCCAGAGGGAGGTGACCTCTGAAATTCAGTCCTGGAACTTGGATCCACAAGGGTCATGGGCCCCCTTGGAGTCCCAGTTGCCCTTTGTCCCCTAAAGATCATAAAAGGTTTTGGGCAGTGTTCACCAGCCTCAGATCCCTGTTTTGGTGTTTCTGTATGGAGTCAGGGTTAAGGAAGGGGATCCATCAGACACTGTCTTCCCTGGACATAGTTAAGCAAGGGTCCTTCCTTAAATGTAAGCTTAAGGGTGGGCTCCTCAACCCTCAACATTAAGCAGGAGGCCAGGGCATGTGCCTGCCTCTGGGAGCACAACAGGCCCTGGCCACTTGACTATCCCTAGAGATCAGGAGGAAGGAACTGATGGTTGGGAAACATGGCACCAGAAACGCAGACACATTCACCAGCCACAGTCTGGGACAAAGAAAGTAGTTTTGGTAGATGGCAGAAATGCCGTTGGCAAAGTAAAAGGAGACGAAAGTGCTCACCACCAGCAGGATGGACCCAGTGACCCGGATCTCTGGGGAGGCTCTGGGACAGCAGCTGCTCCTGTGCAGGTGCTGGACTTGCTGGTGGTTTTTCCTCAGGGGAATCACCTTGTAGCCACTTCTCCATATCATCAGTCCCACACAGAATACATCTTGGGAGATGGGTGACAGCCCGTAATTGCTACTTGGGCCTTTCCAGGTACAGAAAATGAGGTCAACTGTTAGCATGAAATTAGTGTTGCATCTCTGTGGGCCTGTAATGCCAGTGGCTGTGCCAACTTCTAGGAGCAGGCTAAACAGCCAGCAGAAGATACAAGAAGAGATGACATACTTGGGGCCTCTGGCTTTGACCCCTTCCCTTGGAGAGCTGACGGGGCTGATGACAATTGCCTGGAAGCCACTCAGCAGGCAAGTGCTACAGAGAGAAAGACACCGGCTGACTCTCTGAAGGTAAAAATCAATTTTACACCAGGTGTCATCCATGAAATCTTTCACCCCAAATGCAGATATTGTCATTGGGATGCCCCAGGAGAGCAGGAAAATGAAGTTGGCTAAAGTCAGCTGGCTCATGATTTGTTCTGTGGGCCTCAACTTGCGGCTAGTGAAGATGAAAAGGACAGGAGGATGGAATTCCCCAGCACCCCAAGTCCTGTCTGAGAAAGGTAAAGGGTCCCTAGGATCACATCATGTGGAATCATTCCCTCAGTATTTAAGGTAGGAGAATGATGGTCAGAGCCAGGGGGACCTTGATAGAAAAGAAGAAGTAAAAAACATCCGTGTAGCAAATGTCCTGAGGTGACTCTTCTACTTGCCATGCTCATTGGCAAGTTCATGTTCTCTTCCCAGAATGTGGCTATGACATCCCCTCCCAGATCCAGGAGTAATCCTGAGATACTGGAAGGAAGGTTGTCTTTGTGATGTCATAGCTTATGAGCCCCCCACCAGTGGGCTTCTTGCCATGGTTATTAGTTGATATAATTTAATCGTCTGACACGTAGCTTTTAGAAAAGCTTCTATCTATCTATTTATTAAAGTTATCTTTTTATTGTCAACTTACTGTACTCTAAAGAAAATGGACATGGACATATGCATGGTGGAACATGGCAGAGGCAACTAGGTGGCTCAGTGGAGAGAACATTGGGCCTGGAGTCAGGAAGACTTGAGTTCAGATCTGTCCTCAGACACTTACTGGCAGTGTGACCTCTGCCTCAGTTCCCTGATCTTTAAAATGGGGATAATAATTGCACCTACCTCCCAGGAGTTGTTGTAAGGATCACATGAGGTAATATTTGTAAAATGCATGGCACAGTGCCTGGCACATAGCAGACACTTAATAAATGCTTGTTTCTTTTCTTCCTTCCAGTCTTATACTTGAAACTGCAGATCTGTATTACGTACAACTGGCTTTTGTTTTAAAATACATAATACAGTCAGTAAAGGGGTATTTACTAAGGTGGAAAAGTAAGAACATTAGATACAAAAGATCCCCCTCAACGTCCATGACAGTCTCCCACAACTTCATGCAGGGTCCAGGGGAAAGTAGGCTGAAGTTTAGAGAGCCCATATGGCACTGGGGTAACTCACAGCTCCTGGAAGTTTTTGAGGTATGGTGTGGTTTTCTGCTGGGCTCCTTGTGGAGCTATGACGGCATCCAGTCTGTCCTTGGCACTTACTGGAGGCTCTGCCATTGGCTGATCTGGGTCTGCTGCTGGGATGCCGATGGGAAGATGGGAAGTTTGAAGACATACCGTGGGCCAGGGCATGGGAGTGTAGAGGCAAGCAGGGCAAAGCTGAATCCACTCCTCCTCCTCTTTACCCTTTCCAGTCATTCCCTTACTTTCTACCACTAGCTGGTCACTTGACTCCAAATCTCTCAATCAATCCAATAAACATTTACTAAGCACCTACTATATGCCAGGCACTGTGCTAAGAGCTGGAGATGCAAAAAGAGGGAAAAGGCAGTTTTTGCCCTCAAGAAATTACAATCTAATGGGGTAGACAATATGGAAACATATATACAAAGCAAGTTCTATTGAGGATAAATAGGAAATTAACTGAGAGAAGGCCCTGGCATTAGCGGGGATTGGGAAGGTTTCTTGTAGGTGGGGGAAATTTATTTGGGTTGTAAAGGAAGTCAGGGAAGTGAGTAGTCAAAGAGGAGGAGGGAAAGTGTTCCAGGCATGGGGGACAGCCAAAGAAAATGCCTGGAGCCAAAAGATGGAGGGTCTTGTTCATGGATTAGCCAGGAGACCAGTGTCCCTGGATAGAAGAGAACGTGTCAGGGAGTGGGGTGTGAGAAGACTGGAAAGGTAGGAGGGGGCAGGTTAAGAGGGGCTTTGGATGGCAAGTAAAGCATTTTTTATTTACTCCTGGAGGCACCAGTGAGTATATCAATAGATGCTGAAAAGGTTTTTGCCAAAATCTAATACCTGCATTTGTTAAAAACTCTAGAAGGCATAGGAATAAATGGATCTTTCCTGAATATACTGTCTATCTAAATAGAAGAGCAGACATTATGTGGGACAGAGAAAACTTAGAAGCTCTTCTGATAAGATGAGTTGTAAAACAAGAATGCCCTTTATTATCCTTATTATTTAACATACATCTAGAAATGCTAGCTATAGTAGTAATACAATAAAGATGAACATGGGGAATAGGCATATACAAAGTCATATACCAACGGAATTCATCCCTTTTCAGATGATATGATGATTTACTTAGAAAAGCCAAAGTGTCAAAATTAATTAAAATAATAAATGCACTGAATTGGAAGATACAAAACCAATACATGTAGATCTTCAGTAGTCCTGTATGTCATCAAAATTCAGTGAGAAATTTAGAACGAGAAAATCTATTCAAAATGACTACAGAAGCTATAAAACATTTGGGAACCTTTACCAACATGCATGTAGGAGCTATATGGATCCAAATATACAAGACTTTTCGAAACAAAGACAGATGTGAATAATTGGAAAAAACATTAGCTATTCGTGGGCAGGTCAAACCAATATGATAAAAATTACAATAATATGTAAACCAATGAATTTTTTCTGTACTGTCCCAAATGACCAAAGGAACTTGAAAAAGAATGAAATGCATGTTTCAGATTAAACAACTCAAAGGAAATAATGAGGAAAGTGGGAAGAAAGGGGGTCTATCAATACTAGATCTCAAACTCTACTACAACACTATAATCATTAAAACAACTTGGTATTGGTTAAAATACTGAAAGGTCACTTGGCAGAACAGCTTAGGCATACATCCTGCAGAAGGAAACACAGTAGCATAGGCTTCAAACAACTCAAAGTTCCCAGTTCCTGGGGGAAGGATTCATTTCACAAAAATTACTCAGAAAACTGGATAGCAGTCTGGCAGAAATTAGGAGCAAATTGCATGGAAGTGGGAGCTGCAGAGTGAAGTTTCCTTTAGTGACAGAAGAAGATCTAATTGCATGTGTTTATCAACATAAAGGCTCACCAAGAGAATGCAGAAAGGCAGCAGATACATCCTCCTGAGAATGACGGGTAAAATACTAAATGGAATAGAAATCTAGACATGTGAAGTTCCCTCTTGTTGAGAACTGAGACAATCATAAATGTGGACAAACTCAACTGACATCACCCATTAGAAATTATTGTCTGGCACCTCCTTATTCCAGAGCTACACCATGTTTAATTATGGTTTTCACCATAATCTCAAACTATGTCTCAAAGCCTTGACCTCCACCACTACTTGCTGAAGGAAGAGAACAATTAATTGTTTTGGGAATCCTTGATTCACAGGGACAATGGTTCTGTCTCCATTAGCTAGTGGACTTGTCAGTGTATGGGCCTGAGAAAACGACATGGGGATCAACCCACAATATGGAAAACCTAGATTTAGTAGAGGCCTTCCACCAGTTCTAATGCACCAAGTCTTTGTCCTTAACATTTGGAGAGTTATTCTTCATTCGCCAGAGATGGATGGTGCACAATTGTGCATTCTACACATTTATGCTGGGTCAATAGACCAGCTGGTGGACTTTACCTCCAAAAATGTCAACACATTGGTGTTGGGTGGAGAGGGAAGAAGTTTCACCAATAACCACACTTGAATTGTTTTTGGAGACAAGTTAGTCAAGACAAATGATCATCTCTTCAATACTATCCATCTTTTGCTTACAGATCACAAAGGGACATCCCTTCTCTGTCATGCATAGCATATTTCCTTATTGGTTCTCTGGAAGTATGGATGGCCATTGAATTGATCAGTGTTCTCACAGTTTTAAATTTGTTTGTTTTTACAGTGTGATTGGTGTTGTAGAAATTGTTCTCCTGGTTCTGCCCATTTCATTAACCATCAGTTTATACAAGACTTACAGACTGTCCACTTTTATAATATTGATTCTCTAACCCATATTGTTCTGGTTCTGCTCATTTCATGCTGTATCAGTTCCTGTAGGTAATTTCAAGGCTTCTCTGAGGTCATCTATTTCCTTATTCCTTACAGCACAATAATTCTCCATTACATTAATACATGACCATTCCCCAATTGATATACATCCCCTTAAATTTTCAGGGTTTTTTTTTTTGTTGTAAAAAGAATGTCCATAAACATTTTTATATATTAATGACCTTGTCCTCTTTCTGTGATCTCTTTTGGGTAAAAACAAGGAGTTCGCTAAAATGAATAAACATTTCAATCATGTCTTAGGATGTATATATACAACATTCCACACCCATAGATTCTCACCTCTGCACAGAAGGTTAGGAGGTACATTTTCTCAACTCTTTTCTAGGTCTGACTTGGTCATTATAATTATGATGTTCAGTTTTTTTGTTTTGATCCTTTCCTTTACCTTGCCATAGTCATTGTGTATATTGCTTTCCTGGTTCTGTTGACTTCACTCCCCATTAGTTCATATAAATGTTCCCACCCTTCTCTGAATTCATAGTTATTGTTTCTTAAAATGCAGTAATATTTTATTTTGGTGATGAGCCACCATTTATTTATCCATTCCCCAACTGTTAGGCAGTTTTCTGTTTCCAATTCTTTGTTTCCTCAAAAGTGTTGCTGTAAATATTTTGTCGTATATGAGACCTTTCTTTTTGTCTTTGACCACTGTGAGTTATCTGCCTAGAAGTAGGACTTCTGAGTGAGAGGGCCTACTCATTTTATTTTATTTATTTTTTTATATATTATTTTTTATTAATTTATTTTGATTTATCAACAATCACTTCCATATTCTTTTGAGTTTAAAATTTTTCTCCCCCTTCCTCCCCACTACCCTCCCCAAGATGGCACACAATCTAATACAGGCTATACATATACATTCCTATTAAATATATTTTCACATTAGTAAGAATTAGAACCAATAGGAGGAACCACCAGAAAGAGGAAACAAAACTCAACAGAAGAGAAGAAAATAGCAAATAGTATGCTTCGATCTGCATTCAAATTCCATAGTTCTTTCTTTGGATGTGGATAGCATTTTCCATTACCAGACCTTTGGAGATGTCTTAGATCCTTGTATTGCTGGCAAGGGTTAAGTTTATCAATATTAGTCATCGCACAATGTGGCTGTTATTGTGTACAACGTACTCTTCGTTCTGTTCACTTCACTCAGCATCAGACCATACAAGTCTTTCCAGGTTTTTCTGAAGTCATCCTGTTCATCATTGCTTGTAGCACAATAGTATTCCATTATATTCATATACCA